AGGTTGGATATTAGGAAAACTTTTTTACAGAAAAAGTGATGAAGTGTTGGAATGGTTTGCTCAGGGAGGTAGTAGAGTCACCATCCCCAGATGCACATAAAAAAAGACTGGATGTGGCACTCAGTGCCAGGGGTTAGTTGAGGTGTCAAGGGAATGGGTTGGACTCCATGATCTTGGAGGTCTCTTCCAACCTGGTGTGATTCTGTGAAGCAGGGTTTCTTCTCTATATAACACAGCTTAGAGCTGAGAGAGGACTTCATTTTTCTTGTCTTGTCAGTAACTTAATCCTTTGTGGTTTTACTGTTTCTAAAATAATAAAGTCAGTCTGGAGTCAAAGGAAAGCCCTTCTCAATTCTCAGGAAAACACAAGGATGAAGTAACCTTGGTCTTTCCCAAGCTAGTGAGCAAACATTTTCTGCTGGTGACTTTCCCTGGCTGGGAAAGCAGAAGCATTTCCCACAAATAAAACTCTATCCTGGAAATGACAAGAAAGGTGCTCTGCCCACAGTCCATAATTTAATCTGTTGCAGTAGTTTTAGCCAAGGGAAGACAGCCCAGGAGACAAAACATTGGTTTTCTGCATGCAATTTGCCAAAGCAAAATTAATTCTCATTTTCCAGTGGGAATCTGCCTTTCCTTAACCTTGATTTCATTACAAAACCTTTGAAAATTATGGAAGCCTCCAAACTGTCACTGTGTGTGCAAAACACTGCTGCTATTCAGGAGCAGAAATGTACTCCAGTGTCCCAGCTCTAATGGGGAGGACACTTCTGTAGGTTCTTTCCTTCCTTATCTTGCTTGGAAAAGGAAAACATGTGCCTTCACTAATGTAAAGAATCAAGTGAAGGTTGTGCCCTGTAGAGGGTTTTTTTTAGCCAAATTCTTTTAGCTCTTTCTGCTGTGTGTTGGAGGAGTTTAGAATATTTTAGACACAAGGAATAACAGGAATGATTTATGCCACAAATTGTTTCATATTTTTTTCTTTTCAATTCTATTGCCTAACAGTCTAAAAATCTTAAATATATACAGGAAGATTTGTGAGTAGTACTATAATTCTTCCAAGGGCCTTGTCAACCTTAGGGCCAGTACATTTATTATCATTTAAGCCTGACATACAGATCTCTTTGGGAAACCTGCTCCTCATGAATGCTTGTTATGCTCCTGAGTGCCTATGTTGACTTCCTCAGGACTATTTCTGTCTTAATTTTGCAGAGCTGGTCTTTAATGGGTTTCAATCTGTCCTTATTACAGGACAGATTTTCCCTCAGTGGGGAAAACCAGGTAAAATACAGAAGGATGTGAGAGCAGAATCTGGACCAGTTGATATTGAGAGCAAAGAAAGTTATTTTTCTCTTTAAACAACCAAGCCAATATAAACACACTATTTAGAGGGAGTTTGGTTTTTAATTCTCAGTATATTTGACCTTCAAAAGGACACATAACAATGCAATTTAGAGGTGTGCTGCCTACAAGCTCAGTTCCTGGTTGTGTCTGTACAGCTGAGAAAAGTGAAAACAATGAAACAGACACTTTTGAGTTCCGAGTGAGAAAAAAGGAAACTGGCAGCCTTTTCTTGCTTTATTGTTAAATATCTCTATTTAAATGCAAATCATCATCTGACACTGCCAAACAAAGTCATGTACCAGGCAGCAGGCATGCAAGTTAAAAAATTTTTTTAAATGATGCTTTGAAGATGCTGAATTGCTTTTATTTCCAGGAGGAATAGAGGTGGCTGAATAAATTTTTGGCTGCATACCGAGGATCAGTTCAGCACCTAGGCTCTTCAGATATGAAGATTTGTATTTCAAGTGCAGCTTTTACAGAGGTGTGGGCAGACTGTCTAGTTAGGGATCACTTGGAGGGATGCTGAAGTTTCTTCTGTGTTATCCCACAGCACGTATTACAGTAGAAAGCCCAGTGTTTACAGAATGTTTTGGAAGGGGATGGAATCCAGGGACAAAAGAGGAAGGAGCAGCCTCATCTGCTAAAATTCTTCCTTTAATTTGCTGTTTACCTCACCATTTTAAACTTTCATTCTTATAAATCAATGTGGATATATTTGCTTTCTGTGCAGGGTTCCAGTAGTCTCTTAATAATCATAATAATCGTTATTACTGATTAAAGTTGTATTATTCATGCCAGATGGAGTGCCTTCCCTGTCAGCCAGAATGATTTTGCATTTATGTAGTTTTAGTACATTTGTGATCTAAATAAACAGATGGTAGAAGGTGATGGCGAATTATGTGCTGGTGCTATCAGCAACAATGTTTCCCAAGTATAATTGCTGCAAATGAACATGAAGGCAACGAGGAGCTGGTAGTTTTAACAAGGTAGTTGGCATTCAGTGTGGTAATTACCATGCAGCATCATCAATAGCACCAGGGATGCCGAGGTAGGAATGCTGGCTTTGAAAAATTAGTGACAGAGTCCGACTTCACAGGACCATCACAGTGGCTTTGCTCAGCTCTGTGACAACTTGCAGGTGTGAGCACGCTGCTAGGAGAGGAGCAGTGTTTGTCTTTAGGGTGATCCAACCTTAGCTGAGACACATTTTGTACTTTCTCCAGCGCCGTCTCCCATCAGGGCATGTGGCAAGTATTTGATTTAGTGTAATGGAGCAGTGTTAGCAGCAGCAGCTGTTAATACACGATTAAAAGGATTGAACCTGGATCAGGTTCAAAGGGGAAATTCACTTAACAGAATCTCAGCAGTATTCAGTGATGTATAAAAGTTTAATCAAACACAAGGTTGGGTTCCTGTGCAATCTAAAGCACAGCAATAAGGACTGTGCATAGTCTTCCACAAGCTTTGCATTGAGTGTCTGGGCTCATCCCATCAGCTCTGGCTTTGTGAAGAACTTGCCTGCCTGCCCCTCAGGCACTGCCACACCTGGGAGTGTGCCTGGACTGTGGCCATGTCCAGATGGCAGCCGTGGAATGGGGTGTCCATTCTCTCACAGCCCAGACTGGTGTGGGGCTGTCTGAGCCCTCTCTCCTCAGCCAGAGGAGAACATTCCAGGTCTTCTCCTTGCCTGCCATTCCCTCTCACACGGGTCAGCATATTGCCATGACATGGACATGTGAACTCAGCTCCCACTTCAGTCCAAATGGATTTCAGTCACTAATTACTAGGTAGTTTACAAAACCTAGCATTGCTAATGCTTCTTCTGACAGCTACAGTTCTTTTCCTTCAGAGACTAAACCTATCAGCATGTGGAAAGATGATGCAGAGCATCACATCCAAGGTCTGAAGGAACATGAGGTTCCTTCTGATAAAGAACCAGCAGCCAGAAAAGAGAAGGTCCTGTGAGCTTTGCTGTCACTGGGGTTAAGTGGCTGCACAGGGCACATTTCCTTTACCATAATATTGGACATGCAGACCATGCAAGTTTGTGGGGAGGAGGGGTGGCTTTTAACCAAAGGCATTGAGTGGGATGTCCCATTGTTCAGATGAAATTGGACAGGAGGTGGGTACCTGTATAGCCTCTCCAGCACAGCCACCTCTTCTCCTGTGGAGGAGTCAGCAGGTCTTACACTGCTGATGCAGTGAGTGATCACATTGCTCCTCACTCCTCCAGACTTGCTCATACTTCTTTTTGTTTTGAGATATCCTGGTCACTATGCATAGCAAAAAGGTATTTAGGATATAAAGCATTTAGGTAAGTACCTGTATTTCGTATAAGTTTGACATCAGGTTTGGTGGGCCTTTTTTACAGGCACTGTTCCAACCTTGCTGAAGTATAAAAACCTTCCAAAAACGAGCTGGACGTTAAAGGAATGAAAGGAAGCTGCATTTCCAATCTCTCTCTTTCTGTCTGTCCTGCAGGTGGTCGGTGCCACAAGTCCTGCACAGGACGGTGCTGGGGACCAACAGAGAATCACTGCCAGACCTGTAAGTGTGTAAGAGTGAGAAACAAAGGACTGGAAAACCATGTACCAGACATCCTACTTGTTTTTTTCTATCAGTTGTCAAGGGATACTATAAATTCTGGGTTCAGTATAACTCTAAAATATACAAGTGGGTTTTTTTCGTCGTATGTTTTTACCAATAGATGATCTGCTTTTTTTTCCATCCATGTAAATAATATTTTTCCTTCCTCTCGTGTGCTTTCTAAAACTGTTTATGCTAACTTGAATTTTCTTTTCACTACTTGGTGGCAACATGGAGCATGGCTCTTGAGAATATTGACAGTTATTTTGGAATACACTGAAATTAATACTGCAGGAATAGAAAAAACTACCAAGCAAATTTGGAAATCTTTAATGGCCACCTGACTTTGCAAAATTCCTGATGCCAAAATACTCTGTTAATTTCAATGGTAGCATGGGAATATTAGTTATCTTGCAGAACTGTTCTCTTTATAATAACTTCAGAATGTATTTGAGTTGTACTGAAAGAGAGAATAATAGGTTTTGGTTTTTTTTTTGTGAAGGAAGTAGTAAGTGAAGGGTTACTCACAATGTTTTTCTGTCCTCATGAATTTAGAGAGCATTAAATTGAGTTTCTTCCTCGTGTGCTTTAAGCTCCTTCACATAGGCACTAAAGAGCTAGAAGTGGTCACAATATTAGCAGATAATAAAAGAGGAGAAAATTGAGAGGTGTCTTTTTCTACTAATTTTTTGGTTTTTTTTTTCTTTTACATGCTTACAAGAGGGAGAAAACCAGTTGCCTTTATTAGAATTACTCTTCCTAGGAAATGAAGTGTTTGCTGGGAGCTCCCCCAGAGAACACTTCTCCAGCCTGTGCTGGTTTCCTGGGCTGAGTTGTAAATGGGAGGAAGGACTGTGACAAATGAGCCACTCCCAGGCAAGCACCCCAAACAAGCCCAGTGTCATCTGCCCCTTCCCTGGGGCTTGGTAGGAACAGTGCAGCAATGCTGCTTTTCGGTTTGGGGTTTTGGTGTATTTGTTTGTTTGTTTTTTGTTTTGTTTTTTTGGTTTTTTTTTATTGACTACTCGGAGTGAGAGATAGGATGGAGTTAGAACTGGCAGGCAGCTTGAGGTGAATGTGTGATGAGTGTGAGCAGGAAATCCAAGCTGCCCTGCTGACCCAGGGGACAGAGCCACGTACCTGCAGAGGCTGTGCCACCCTGCCAGGAGCTGCTTTTCCTTTAGGAGCATCAGCTGATTCTGCTGGAAAAGCTGCTCCCAGTTACAGCTCTGCTCAAGTTAACCTGTTCTTGTATCACTGCTTCATATTGTGCTTTATCTGCAGGCATGGTTAAAAACCCCTCAGGACATATTGTAGGACTAAGGTACAGTGATGCAGAGCAGATTCTTTTTTAAAGTCTGGATTGAGCTAGGAGATCTCCTTCCTTTGCTGGCAGTCTTTATGAAGGCACCAAGGAAGTCAGTGCTCCTTACCAGGAAAAGAAGTAAATTCTGGGTTGTGTGCTTAACTAGATAATGGAAAGGGACCTAAACCCCAGCTGACCAAATTATTTTATATCATGGTTAGAATGAATTAATTTTTTTTCTCTGTCCTAATGAGAAGCTTGTTTTTTCTATTAAAACTAGTAACTTTGTAAGAAGCTGCATAATCCATCCAGCCATGAGTAGACTTACTCAGGCCTTCTGTGCTTAGCTTATCCAAGAAGAGTTTAAAATCTTGGCAGTGACGTTCCATGAGGAGCTGGTTCAGGCTGTGTCTCCAGCCTCATGGCAAGCCCAGCTGTGTACCTGCAGGGTCCATGTGGCAGGATCAGCTCCCGTGGTCTCAGCCTCTACAAAGCACTGCTCTCAGATAAGGGGGCTGATCTGGAGGATTAATGTAGTAACACCAGGCAGAGAAAAGCTTATCTGCAGGGCTCTGAAGGCAGCAGGGCTGCACGGAAGGCTGGCTCCAGGAGTGACAGCTCTCTCTCCCTTCACAGTGGCTGCCCTCACAAATCCAGACAGTGGGGACAGGCACGGCCGTGGGGTCGAAATCATCAACTAGGAAAAGCCAGAACCCATCCACGTTTCAGGGAGATACACAGATCACAGTCTTCCACTTGAGTAGCTGCTCCACACCCTCTTGCTTCAAGCCTTGCAGCCTCTGATGGTCAGGGACAGGAATTAATTTTACATCCCAGGCTTCTTCTTTGCCCCCATGACCTCACTGCACCTTGGACAAGCAGCAGGATTGAAGGAAAAAGCTGGAAAAGGGTATTTCTTCATTGGATTTTCACACAGTGTGTTTCCTGCAAGCTGAGTGAAGCAAAGAGGGAGAATTTGAGTAGGAAATCATAAAAATGCAAGTGGGACTATGCTTTTGCTGCCTTCATGGCTGACTTTAAAGACATGCCTGGTTTTTGGGCTCACAAATGTTGTTGTTAGGTACAAGCTGGAGAGTGGTGTTGTGCACATCATGTCTACCTTAACCCTGTCACCTTCAGGATGCAAATCTTTCTAACACCTATAGGAAAATACTCCAGCAGTGCTACATCCAGTGCCAAACCATTTTGATCCTAGAAACAACTCAAAAAAGCTAGAAACAGCAAAAGAGCTGCATTTTTATAATTTCTTCTTCTTTTTTTTTTATTGAGGATTGAAGCAAAATATTTTAATGAGCCCCCCTCCCAAGATAAGATTTAAATTATTTTCCTGGGAAAGGATAAAAAAATGAAAGATCTTAATCCGTGTCTTTCATTTCAAATTACATATGGAAAAAACCCAAATCCCTTTGTTTTTTTCATGAATATCATCTACCTAGCTGCTTATGTTGCCTTCCAGCAACGTCTTTGTTGCTAACTCTGTCTGAAACACCACTTGCATCTAACTCTGTTCTAATGTCTCTCTAAATGTGACAAGAAAATTCATGTATTTAAGAACACAATTAATAGGAAATTTAAGCCAAGCTGTTCTGTTAGGAGGTAGAGAAGATAAAATTCCAGGGTACTGTTTTACACAGTTTGCAATCCTTTTTACATTTATAATTAAAACATTAGTAGATGTTAATAGGAAGAATTTGAAATCTAGGTGATATATCTTGTTTCAGTGTCAGGAAAGGCAAATACTTTTTAAAATACTATTTTTTCAAATTGTATTGGGCACACACTGAGTAGAATGTAAACCACTTTAAATAAAATAATAACAAATGCTTTTGAAAGTCACTAATCAAATTTGAAAATCTATTGCTAGGTTGTTGAAATTTTTGCTGTTCATTTCTGTTAAGAGTTTCATGTGGAAATTGAAACTTCTACAATTCAATACATTATTAAAGTGACAGATTATGCACTTTTTCCAAGAGGAATGTAACTGAAAAGACAACAATCTAAATTAGAATGTATACCCAACTAAGGGAATGCGAAAATACAAATATAACCTATAAATCAAACCTGAAACATTGAGCAAATGTCAAGTGCTCCATGACTGTGTGTGTACAGGAGTGTGGTCAGAGCACAACTGTATTTTTACTGTCCCTGTGCAGCTGGTGTTGCTGAGGAGAAGGTGCCAGATTAGAGCAGCAAAAGGCGAGCAGGAGCCTGCTGGGGCACCCAGAAAGAGCTGAACCAGCAGCTGGGCTCAGTCAGGGAAAGCCAGCAGTTCTGCTTGGAGCCAGCATCTTTAATTAAAACCCTTCTATCACCCTAATAGCTCTGCATGTTTGTAACACTTTCATTGATTTCAGTTACTGCCCATTTTTTTCCTTCACGGATTCATAGTGTCCTGACACAATTAAAGATGAGGGGAAAATATAAAAGAGACATATTTGCACATGTACATGAGGTGGTCATTTCATCCCTAACACAGTATATTGCTGTCAAATACTGGTAGAAGTTGACAGTCTCACCCAGAAATCCATTTCCATGCACAGCACATTTTTGGAGACTTTGGTGTTTGTCCTTTGGTCCTGGCCCTGACTGTGACAGTTCTGTGTAGCTGAACCCCCCAAATTCTAGGGAATCACACAAAATCTGTAGGAATCCAGGCAGGTAGTTGTGCTGACCCTCATTAGGTCTGCTTGGGGTCTCAGCTGGGATTAGTGAGGCTCTCCTCATGGTTGTGTTGGGTGAAGATATGAGTACCTGGCACCTGAAATGCCATATAGTTTGACATTTTGGGCAATATTCATAACTCACTCTTTCAGATAGGTCTTGAGTTACAGCTATAAAATCAATTGATTGTATTTGGAGAAAGCATTTGGGAAAAAAAAGCTTGTTATCTTTTTAAACCAGTGCAGCTATGTGCATTTTCTGTGAGGTTACCCCCTGAGAATGATTGCAGGAAGCTGAACTGGTGAGTGATGTTTATTGGCATCTGAGCAATCAGATTGTTTCAGGCCTTCAGACAATACACTGAATTGCCTTGTGTTTGCTTTGTCTTGGGGGAAAACCCTTCCTTTTAAAGTGTCTTAAATATGAGTCCTTAAGATTCAGAGCCTGCCAAGCTCATTCATGTCCTGGTGTGTGTGGTGCCACTGACAGGTTCTCCCCACACCTGGACCTTCAGTAGCAGCTCTAATGCAAATATGGCAAACAGTGAAGCAGGAGATATGTTGTGTGATATGTTCTGGCCTCTTCCTAGAACAGCATGTTGGCATTTCTGTTGGCATTGTTTGTTTTCCCTGTAAATAAACAACTGGGGAAGAACAGTGACAAACCTTTGCTGTAATCATTAGTTTGCTTCAGGAAAACTCAGTGTTCTCTATCCTGAGCAGCATGGTAGAGACCCTCCTTGAGCTGTTGTCTAACCAGAAGCAAAATACACTTTTTGAAGGCATCCACTTCAAGTATTGTGCTGAAGTGAGGACCTGGTTCCTCCAGATCTGCCATTTTTAAGATCCCAATCAATCACATGTGGATATCTGGGAGATTCAAACCCCCTATTTAAGAAGGGTCCAGGAACAATAAAGAGCTTTTGTCATATGGATCTCTGAGGGTTCTGTCATCTGTCTCCAACCACAACCCACTTAATGTAATAACTGTAGATATAGAAGAAGAGATTACAGGCAACCTCACCCCTGATAAGTCACAGTTGTACTAATTACCAAAGAATAGCCTTGCCCTTAATGGGCCACAGCTAGGACTAATAAAGATAACTGTGATAAAAGGGGTGGGCTGGCTGGTCAGGGGATCCTTGAGGAAGAGGACCTGGAGAAGGAGGGCCTTGAGGAAGAAGGCTGGATCCCAAGAGTCCCAAAGCAGAATGAAGCAAGGAAGAGAGTTGGTGCTGTAAAAGATGTGCTGTGGGGTTAGTCTGGGTCTGATGCAGTTGGACCCTACAGCAGGAGCTTGAGTAGCCAGAGTCAGGATGGCTCAGCTGTAACAAAGAATAAACCAGGCCCGTGTTCATGTTGTTAAATGGGAATCTTTGTCTTGGCTCATCTCTACCCTTAACAGGAGGTCTGCTGCAACAACAGACTAGGGAAGGTGTTTGTTCATTTTCATGAGCCAAGACTGTCACCACAGTGTGCTGGTGGCACACAGCCACAGGTGCCATTGTTTCACATCTGTCTTAATGTTTATCAACACTGTCGCTTAAATACACAATTCTTTTTAATGTGCTTCTCAGGCAGTGTTGACAGTTAAGTGCCTTCATAGAATTTTCCTAATTTCTCAAATTAGATTGCACAAGCCACAAAAGCCTTTTCTTTCTCTCTGGGGGTTTTCTTCTGATAGCAGCAAGATGAGATTGTTCTAAAAGTGTATTGTTTTATTCTGTAGATTACAACCAGCCACTTCTCTTTAGGTGTTTTCATTTTTATGTCCTAAATAAATACTGTATGTAGGAAGAACCTTCAGCATTGCCTTAAGTATTCCTGGCAAGTAGTGAAGGGATTTTGGATCAGAATGTACTTACAAATGTGTTACCCATATATTAGAATAGTAGAATTGAGCAGAAAGTTGGATGGAATTTTGTTTTCTCTTGCTTCCTGAAAAGTGTTTTTCATAGTGTTTTCATTTTTAAAATGCTTAAAAAAAAGTAGATGTTGAAGGTTAATTGCAGAAGTGTATCACCCCAACTTTTATCAAGACAACTGACAGCATGGTAGGCAGTGGTGGTTGGTATAGTTTGGATAATACTAATTTCTTTTTCCATACAGCTGAGTGAGGGAGGGGAGGTGGATGCTCCACTGGTTGACCATTTTTTGCACAAGGTTAAGCCACGAGTGGTGTGGAACCACAACCCAGCTGGTGGATCTAGTTCTGTGGATGAAGGCAGGAGTGCATTATTTAGAAGTAGCAAGTGTTGTTTCCAAATGTGTTCCGGGGTTGCAGTCTGTTCTGCTCCCGTTTGTCAAATGGATTGCCACCAAGGGCAGCATTTGGCCGTGACACTGGTGGTCTCACTCTGAATTTCACTCATTTATGCCATGTTGCTCTTCCTCATGGGGGAAACTCACACGTACCTGGTGGGCTCTTCTGTTATTTTTGGGGGGGAGAGGACGTGTCAAAAAACGAGTGACTTGAAAGTAACATTGCCTGTGAATTTTCAAGGGTAAAAGGGCACACTAAAAATTCCTACTCCACAGTCCTTGAGCAACATGCGCGCCCTTAAAGAAGGTGTCCTGCAGGTGCGGTTCTGGATCCGAGCATCCTTGAGGCCCTTCCCTCCCTTCCTGGGGGTTTTCCCAGCACTCTGTGGACATTTTGCCCGTGTGGCAGCTGGGGAGCTGTGTTCCTTGCCCTGTGAGTGACTCTGTCCCTTTTCCTGCCCGTGCAGTGACGAAGACTGTGTGTGCAGAGCAGTGTGACGGGCGCTGCTACGGGCCCTACGTCAGCGACTGCTGCCACCGCGAGTGCGCCGGCGGCTGCTACGGACCCAAGGACACCGACTGCTTCGTACGTGCCCTTTTTTTTCTCTTTATTCTTCCTGCCAGCCACTCTGCAGCCTCAGAGTGCTCTAGTCCATGAAATTCACCCTTTCATCCCTTCCATCGTGCCGCGCTCGCACGTTCAGGGTGCGAGTTTTCAGCGTTTAGTGTTTTTCCTCTTCGATTCGCTTCGTTTATCTACTTGATATTTCCCATTAATGGGTTTATGAGATTGGCAAATACAGATTTGGAACCATTAATACGCTTATCTCTGTTTTTTATCTTTGTCTTTTCCAAAACTGGCTTTTAGAGGTGGTAACGAATTTTTAGAACTAATTATCATTATATTTGAACATGGTTTTTATTAGTGCTCTGTGTGCTTTTCATATGAAAGTCAAGATTACTCTAGCTTCTTTGTGCAAGGCATTCTCTGTTTCTGCCAGACTTAAAGTCAGCTTTTTTACTGGACATGCTCCTTTGTGGAGATGGAAGGAAAGTGGTTCCCAAAATGCTCTCCCTCAAATGCATGTTACTACATGTGTGCTTCAGATGGAAAGAAGAAACAGCTTTTTCTTTAAAGAAATGGGTAATCTAAATGTCCAGGCCTTTAGAAAATCTGTCTTGTTTCTAATCCATTATTTCTAAGAGTTTTAGCAGCTTTAGAACTCAAAACTGATCTCAAAAAAAATGTGTAGCTCGTCGCACTGGCTCAATGAGACAAGTTTTGTGAATGGCTTCAGGGGAAGCAAACCTAGGTTTGCAGAAGCCTAGACTTAGAACCTGCATAGAGAGGTGGGTTTTCAAAGGTATCCACCTGTTTGAAGAGACAAATACCTGTGAAGGTGACTGCCAGGTGGGGTTGGGAGGAGGGTATGGAAAATTGCATCTATTTTGAAATTGTGGGCAAATGACTCATAATGAACTGGCAAAATTCATCTTTTCCCTGGCTGGCCTTGATTGTTTGATAGTGATAGGTTTTGTGCTTCAGAACCATACTCTAAATGCTGTCCTTTGGCTGCTGAGGAAATGTGGTGGCCTGACAGCCACCAACAGAATTTACTAAAGCTGTTCTCTGTGGCTTTTCACAGGTGGATGCTCAGCACATATGGTATGGGGGATCCAACTGGAAGTTCTCTGTTGGCTTTGAACTAGAGAGACAGGAAAACACCAGTGTGTCTTGTGTCATGTGTAATATAAATAGGTAAAGGGAAGAGGAAAAATGCAGTTATTGTTCCTAAATGAGCATTGAGGAACATCCTTTGAGTCCTATGTTGATGTAATGATTTTCAAAGATTAAGGGCTGTTACTATTAAGTAAAACTTTACAAAAGATAGGCCTTGTAAAATCATGGCTCAAGCCTGTTATTTCAGCTAAGTACTAAAGGACTGTGGTAAAGGGACTCAGCTGAATTAGGGGTAGAAAAACAAGTTATATAACTATTGCATGTTCACATCGTGGTGTTTGGTGGTTGGTGGAATTATGCTTTTAAATTATGTAACTGATAAAGGCCTAACTGCTTTAAAAAGTCTGTTTTCCTGGGGACTCTGTGTCACTACAGACCCTCACCCACAAAGGGCAAGTTATTGGCACCATGAGCTGTGTAATGCTGCAACCTCAAAGTTAGACTTCATCAATTGTGGCAGCTGTGGAAATATGCATGCTAAAAATCAACTGGTATGGTTTTTCTGCTACAGCAGAGAAGCATCCAGGGTTTATTCTCATTCCTGTCTTGCCCCAGAGCAATGTAAAAGAAATTCAGCAGGGGTCTGGCAATTTTCAGGACTAGTCATTACTTGCTTAGTCACAGTGGGTGAAAAGTGTAACCCTTTAGGCTATAGACAACTGTGCTTAGCTTTCAGCTGAGACACAGAACTTTGTTTTCTCCCTGCATATTTCCCCATGCTTTTATTCACAAATTAGCAGCATTTAGCACAAAATGCTAGAAATTTGCATATATTATCGAAGCAATTACAAATGTAGATAAAACATTTCAGTCATAAATTAAAAGTTCCCAGATCTACTAGATGAATTTTTCCAGAGAACTACCATGTCTCCAAGGAGTGAAGGTGTGCTTTATTTTATGCATTTGCTAAACTGTTATCAGAGAATTGTCATGTACATGATTGAGTACCTTTTAAGTCAACATGTAAGAAATGGGTTGAGGAAACAAACGAAATTAGTATTTATTAATAAGCAAAAGTACAGCTTATGAAGAATTACAAATCCTTTAGAGCATTATGGCATCTTGCAACAGCATCCTGTTCTAAATATGGTTTTAATATCTGTAGATAAAATTCATCCACACTCATCCATCTGCTGCCATCCAGTCGTTGGTATATTCAGTTCTAAAAGCAAGACAGTAATCATCATCTGACATAAATGCAAGTAAACATGCTAAGGCAAAGTTTTACTGATGTTTTTATCTCAGATTCACACTGGGTCTAGAACTTGAAATGCATAGGAGGGCCTGGTTGACTGCTTGGTGGAACCAGAAAAGTGGCACAACCCTATTCCTTGCATGGATTTGCCTTCCAGTTCTGAGTAGTGTTTATCTTTGCAGGGGAGAAAAAATCTGTTTCTGTGGGAGAAAAAAAAAAAAAAAAAAGGCAGGTTTTATAAAAGGCATTTTAAAGGACCAGGAAAGACAGGATCAGCAGTGTTGTTTAGCACATGCTCCATGTAGGACAGTGCTTTCATCATGGATCTCCCTGCTTGCTTCTTTGAGTAGCACATTCTATCCTTGGATATGTTATTAGCCTTTCCTTTATGAAGTCTTCTGGCATGACAGGTCCCAGGGTCCTGCTGGTACTGATCCAAATGGAGATAAGTACTGCTGGTAAAATCAGCAGAAGAGAGGAATCTTTTCTCTTTTCTCTCAGTCCCAGTCCAGGAGGCAAGGGGACAGGACACATATATTATTGTTATACTCGTTGACTCTTTAAAGACACACAACCATCTGTATTTTAACAACCTGGAAAAAGACCAGAAGGATTCACTCCTGAACTAACACTTCTAAAGCAGCCTGGATTACAGGTTAGTAGGGAGGCAATACTCAGTAACAGTGGCTGCTTAAACTGCTAGAGAAATCCAAGCCAGGCTGCAGCTTTCATATTTATACAAATTTTTCATTCACGGTATGCTCTGTGAAAATTACTCCAACAGGTCTCTGATAATCTGTGGCTAGAACCATAGACATGATGTGTGTTGATAAGGAATGTCAAAATCGGTGGGCCTTTCTGCTCCTAATTACCAACCTTGCATGGTCAATTGTTTTCCCTGCATCCCATTACTTTTGTTATCCACACGCTGGCTCTTCATTTGTCAGGGCCCTGTCCCCTGTCAGCTGAGTGTGGCAGAGCCTGAATGCTAAGTGGCACAAAGTCCTATTTTCCTCTCCCTCTGTGTGAAGCAGCTGACCTTGTTAAACTTGCCACTTAGGGAAATGGCCCCCTCCTGTGCCAGCTCAAAAGAAGTTCTTATCCCTCTTGCATCCTAATTGGGAATTACAGTTTTCAGCTGGATGATGTACTCATGCTGTAAGAAATCTGAAGGGTTGGACCTCTGAAAAAAAGTCATTAGCATTTACTTAGATGATGATAAATAGCTGCTCGATCTTGGCAGTTTTAGAATGTCCTATCAAGTCGAGAATTAGCTGATTGTGAGTAGTTACGAAACAAATTACAGCGTTGTTTTAGTTTTGTAGGAAGTGTTGTAACAGGCAACTCTTGCCAATTAAGGGGGCTAACCAAACGCCCTAATTTGAAAAGTCACATATTTTACAAGATCCAAGAAAAATCCAAGTAGCCAAAATGAATGTTAGAGAGCTCTTTATCACATTCCTCACTATTGTGGCAAGTCTGAACAATCAAGGCCATCTTTTACACCAAAAAAAAACCCCTTTAAAGCAGCTATATGATTTAATTCAGTATTTTTTGTCCCCCTTGTTTTGCAGGCCTGTATGAATTTCAATGACAGTGGTGCTTGTGTCACACAGTGCCCCCAGACCTTTGTGTACAACCCCACCACCTTCCAGCTGGAGCACAATCACAATGCCAAGTACACCTATGGGGCTTTCTGTGTCAAGAAGTGCCCACGTAAGTGCTGTGTTCTCTGCCCTGTTATCTGCCTTTTTCTGCAGTGATGGCAAGGTGGAGTTGCATTTCAGGAGCCTTGAAAACAGTGGGAGAATGAGAGCTGAGTGCAGAGAACAATCTCTCCAATCACTCCACGTGTGCTTGCAGCCTGTAATAACTCGGGTGATAACTAAAGGTAGTGACATTCTGTGCTCCTGACAGCTCCCAAGATTCCTAAAGTGATTTTCCTAAAGAGAGGTGGTTTCTGTTTTCATGGTCAACTGCCTGTTACATTCATGCTTTAGATCAGTATTTGCAAATTCCAAAATAGGGGAAATAAGTAGTTTAAATAGTGGGATGGTAAAAGGGTATGAATTTCTGTTTCAGAGAAATAACAGTCCCCCACCAGCACCTGGAACCAAATGCTTTCATGATACTGATACTCCTAACTTGGAGTAATGATGATTTGACAGAAAACTACCCTGAAAAGTTTTGTCCCTATGAGGAATAAACTTGTAATACTGACAAGTATGCAGCCTTAAAACTCCAGAGTAAAATTAGAGGGGAAGAGGGAGTTAAAAAAAGAAGAATCCCATACATGTAAAACCTACGTGCTTCTGAGATACCAGCCAGATGATGACAAGTAACAGAAAAAATTATAGGGTCATCACTTACAGAGTCTTTGAATCTGCTAGCTTAATTGGAAAGAATAATAAAGGAGATGGTATTCTTGCTCTCCTTTAATTCCATGAAGGTTTACAGTTGTACATTAATTATTTTATCCATAAATTACATGTAAGAAGGATGAGTGATCTGTATTAAATGGAGCCATGATTCAAACCCGACCCCAAATCCTAATTTTGAATCTCTGTGAAGGGCTGACAGCAGCCAGAGGCTGTGACCACCAGGGCCTAGTTCTGCCTGTAATAGTGGTGTGTTTAAGAACCTGATATCATGCACTGTAAGGGATATAATTATTTGCCCAAATACTTCATTGAACACTTACTTTTTTTCCCCTTTCTTATCAGTACTAAGCATTTAGTTAGGCAAGATCAGTCTATATTCCTTTGGCTGTTGTTTTACAGGGAAAAAAATTGAAATACTTGTCATTGTCCTGTATACTATTTTATCCCAGATGTATACTGTATGCATGAAAAAGACAGGATAGACCATCTTGCTTTATTTCTCTCCAATTACTCTAACCTTTTTCCTACAAATAATAAAGCCACATTTGGGGAGAAAGTGGGATCAGGCCTGACAATTCTCAGATTTTTGTAAGTCTCTGACAACATGCCTATTTTGCTTATACAATTCTGAAAAAAACAGAACTCTGAATGTTAAGTGCTAAGGTAGCAATAGGTATTGACAAGGAGTTCAGAAACACGTCTCAACTTTTATTCACTTTCTGCCAATATCTCCTTTTTCTTTTCAGACAACTTTGTGGTCGATTCCAGCTCCTGTGTCCGGGCATGTCCGAGCTCCAAGATGGAGGTTGAAGAAAATGGCATTAAGATGTGCAAGCCCTGCACTGACATTTGTCCTAAAGGTAGGCAATGGTTCAGCAGAAATTTTCTTGAAAGCGATCTACACAGAGTGTTATTTTGGCATGGATTGCCCTTCATGAGTGTGTTGTAGAGTATGAATAGCCTTTGAATACCCACAGAACTTTGAGCCGTGTAGGTTTTGTGTCAAGCACACATAATAGGGTGAAAATTTAAGTTGTAATGGTAATATAACCAAACCAATTACTTTTTATTAGACACCAATGAAAGGGATTTCTCTATTTGTTTTAGAGAAATCTGAAAGAATTCTTCATTGTGTTATTTTAATGACAAGTACTTCCTGGAGGTGTTTTAGCATTGTCCTCTTGTCATTCCAAAGGGAGCCATATAAAAACCCCTGACTTCAGTGTCTGGGATATCTCATATTTGTCAATACAACATCAGGTTTCCATTTCCTTCCTGTCTCTGCTTTCCCAGAATCTTACACCTCCTTTCTCAGTGTTTCAGACTCAGACTAGTGATGGTTCTGTTGAGAAGACTGAAATCTGTAGGTTGCTTTGCTGTTCTAGACTCCAGCGAGGAGAGTTTCTGCTCCCTGCTTGAAGGTCTGTGGAGCAAAGCATCATAGGTTTTCCTACATGGGTCTTTTCAGTCCTAATGGAAGCCACATCTGGCTTTTTTGAGGTAAATAACTTGTTGTGGTTGAATAGAGTGTTTTATGCATGAAAACACAGGTATAGGGTTCCTTGCTTTGTCAGGAGGGAAGCTATCACACGTTTGTAAAATCTTTTGCTGGTTAGAGGAGCCCAGTCAGGAAGACAGAATACATTATATGGCTGAAGTCTTGAGGGGTTTGTCCTGGTTGCATCCTGTGTCCCAGAAAATGTAACTAGACAGGCTGCACAGAGAAGTTTCCTCACTGGTTACCAGTTTTTTCCAGGCACTAGTAACTTGCTGATTGAGCTGATAAATGACAAGTGATTTCTGGGCCTTATGGCATGGATGGTTTAGTTCACAAATCCACCAGAGAAGGGGTCCCCTGAAGCCAGCAGTCTTTAGGGCCCCTCAGTTTCTGCAGTGTGCAGTGCACCAAGAAATGGCATGGCTGGGCTGAGTGGCATTTTGTGTGGTTGATAGTCACCTTTATGTGAAATACCTTCACCTGTGTGCCAGGGTTCTGTGGCTCACTGCTTGTTTTAAATTGGCATGTGCTTTTTTGGGAATATGGGTCAAGGATGCAGTTTTACCACCTCTCTGCTGAATGAGATGAAGACTCGTGTCTCTGAGGCCAATGCTCTGATCCAGTAATTGTTTTCCCTAGTTCTTTACACAAGCTCCTTGTTTTGGCAGCATGTGATGGCATTGGGACAGGGAGTTTGGTGTCAGCTCAGACAGTGGATTCCAGCAACATTGACAAGTTTGTAAACTGTACCAAGATCAATGGCAACCTTATCTTCCTTGTCACTGGGATTCATGGGTAAGTGACAAAATGTTATGTCGTGGTGCCAGCTGAAACCAATTGCATCCACCTCTTAATGATGGCTGCAGTCTTCTTTTATGCAATAGCAGATCCAGGATTAAATCAGTTTTCTGCCTTCCATTGTGAAGAAAACTATTGCCTTGGTTCTTAAGGTTCAACCTCTGGGAAAAGAAAGGATGGATTAATTGTTTGCACTAAAAAGGAAAAAGACAACTATGATTCTCTGGTTGCTTTATGAGGGCTTCAATACTGACTTACAATAAAGGCTGATTAGAGAATAGAAGGGAGAAAAGTTATCTTCCATGAGTTTAAGTTTTTGTATGGCCAGCAGAATAATATGCAGAGAGACAGCCTCTCAGCATAACTTGTAATAGTCTGCACAAAAGCTGCCCTCTTGTCAATCAGTTTTGAAGACTCTATTTTAAAGTTTCAGTTGCAGAGGCACAGAGAATTCACTACTATATAAATCCAGTATTTTGGTTTAAATTTTGCTCCTTGTAATAGGTCCAGAAAAATCCTCTGAGTGTCTCGTGGCTCTGCTCTGGCCAAATGACCAACTGAGAAGCTGGATGGAAACTTGTTAAATCTCACAGGACAGGAAAAAAATCGAGTAAATGCAAGACAAGCAGCTCGAGCCCATGAGCAGTTAATTGTGTGGATTAATCCAATGCATTACATGAAATTTAATTTTGAGTATAAGAACTGCTTTTGCAGGAAAAATTATATTAGCTCATTAAAAAATCTGTCTAAATTAGAAGAGCCAAACCCAACCTTGAATAAAATTGTACTTGCCTGAAAAATATCTAAATTTGGATTATAAGCAGAAAGTTAAAATGTTCCATTTTACAGAAGATTAGGACATGTGATGTTGAAACTGTGTAGCCCTTTGTCTCATTTTGATGAAGAAAACTCACTTTAGCAAGCCTAAAGTTTGAGGGCACTGAGTTCTGCAACCCTAAATTTTTCTACAGAATTAATTTCATCAGTATAGGTTAAAAGAAGACTTGAGAATTAATGAAAATACCTGGATTTCTGGAACAGCTTTTTTTATTTAAAGTTTCAATTGTATTTTGCAAACCAGCAATATGAAAGGAAAACTTAAAATATGGCACTGACTACACAAGTAGATTGTTATATAAATGGACAGTGAAGAGAAACAACCATCTTGCTTATTTTCTCTCCAACTTCTGTCACAAATTCATTTATTTACAGTGAACTTCAAATTTTGGAGTATGAATTTTTAGTGTTTTATATTGTAGGGACTTACAGTCTGGCTCTCTGAGGAACTGGAAAACTTTTGGTGGTGGCAGAGAATTTCTGTGAAAGATGCAGAGGATATTTTTTATTTCCATTGGAAACTGTGCTATTGTAATTGATCCCGTGGTTCTGTAGCCTATTTCTTTCCTGAGCACATCAGCTTCAAGTCTTTGTGAATTTGTTATAATTCATGTAAATATATATGTAATTATGAATGTTTTTATACACAACTATTTAAGGTAATTAAGATATACACTATTCTGCAGTTTTATATGTTGATAAAGCATCAAACGTTTGGTTGTTTAAGGGGTTTAAGTGTCTATCTGCATCTTTAAAGCTATTTTATCTTCAAAGTGAGAGGCAAAATTCAGCTGCCTCATGTTTATTGCAGGCAAGGGTTTTCCTTCTTTGATGGTAATGCATTTTGAAAGCGAATTTCTGTGTTTGTTAGGTAGTCTAAACTTATTTAGTTTTCTGAGAGCCCCACGTTGTTAAAATAACGTGTGCTTGATGCCTTTGTGATCCACTGGGCTTTTTTTGTTAATGTTTTAGAATTAATTTTGTTGCTGCTAGGCTGAAGTCGCCTCAGGGTGGTTAGAGGTGATCCCATCAAGGTGTCACCTCCTAAACTTGTGAGGCCCTAAAGACAGCCAGGTGCATCACCTGCTTATTTCAGTTCCAGCAATCACTCCTCCTGGAAAGCAGGAGAGGAGGAAACATTCTGTATTTATTGGGGATGTTTCCTACCCTCAGAAAACACACAAAAATACCATAACATGCCATTGCAGAGGAATTTTTGTGTGGTTTAGGCTTCTGGGTGACTTTTTAATAGGTTGACTTTTAAATATTTACTAAGTCATGACACTCTCAAAATCGAGGGCAGCTTCATCTTTTTATGCTATGTCATATCCGAGTTTAAAACGTTAAGTTTTGAAGGTTACTTCAAACTTGTTTGGCAAGGATCCATATTTTTAGAGGTTCCATGTTTAACACCTTCTAACAAGTGTGCCCTTTAAATGCTGTGTGTAAGGAGCTGCTGACATGCTCTTAGTTTGATTTTGTGTATAGCTTGTCACTCCTTTTAGGAGCAGCTTTGTTAGTCTTGGTGTACAGTATCACAGCTGCACCATTCCTGGAAAAAAAAAAAACACTGAAAATTCATCTTTCCTTTAGGAAGGTCACTCATGGTTCTTAAGAATTCCTTAATTTTCTATAACATAAATATTTGCTAAAGCATGAATGAGTTGAACTTTTATGTTCCTTCAAGATGATGAAGTTGTTAGACAGATCTGCAGGAACAACAGACTGAAGAAGCTTGGTGCATATTCTCATAAAAGCCAAGTGTCGAGCACCTTAATGCTGTTTCCTACATGGTATGGCTTTGAGAACCTGATCTTTTCTTATTTAGAGTGTTACATTATGTGATTTTAATCTTTCAGAGACCCGTATCACACAATCGCTGCCATCAATCCAGAGAAATTAAACATCTTCCAAACAGTGAGAGAGATAACAGGTAACACACTTCTGATCTCCTATAAGCTGCATTAATTAATGAATTCATTGTCACTTTGCATTTATAGTTGTCATGTGTTGGGTTTTTTGAAGAATACAAGGTAGTTGTTTTCATTAAGCTCGTCAAGCTGTAATTTTTAAATAAGTTTAATACAGTAACTTCAGTTGATTTTTCACAAGTGTGTTGTCCTTTCAACACAGGATACCCATTATGGCAGATGCTAAGTGGACAAAGGATCTTGGTCCTATGTTAGCAAAGTAGGACAAGGTGTTGCAAGGGAGGGAAATGTGAGGAAAATCATGCTGAAATGTGGGAAACCATTTTCTTCACCTGAAAGCATTTGGAAGTTCTAGTCTGCTTTTACAGCTCCTTCCCTTGGTCTAACAGAAAATGCTGCTGCAAGGTAGCTTTTGTAATTTAGAGACAGATTGTAATGTGTTGGTAGTGAGTCCCATTTTTTGTGACTTTTCAATGAGGTTATAGAACTGATACTCAGTACTTTTTTTTTTTTTTTTTTTCATCTTGCTTCTTGTTTCACCATGTGAGAGACAGGGAGGGAGATGCTCCAGCTCTAATTTGATTTCTGGTTATGTATAAGTAGTGAAATGCAAAAAAACACATTGTTCTATTTCATGCACAAAAAATACTTTTGGGTGCCACAGGTTGATTGTAGCTGTGTGGAACTCAGCACACTTCACCTCTCAAAAGTTGTGTATTTCAGTGAACTGGTGGGATTAAGAATGAAAGGAATCTCTTCCTAATTAATGTCCAAGATAATCTGGCAGCTGGGTGAATGTTATTTCCCATTCCTAAACACTAATTGGCAGTCTCAGCCCTGCTGCTGAAGTGGAATTTCCCCTGTGCCAGGTGTGCTGCATTTCAGCCCAGGGCTGAGCCACAGTCACGGGGAGTTCACCTCAGAAATCAGGACAAGTTCTCCTCCTCTTTTTTGGAGGAGATGGTGGTGAGCAGCCTGAGACTCTGTAGCTTTCCTTATTTATTTCTTTTCCTCAAGCTGGCACCCTTTCTTTATGGGCTAAGCCTGTCCTAACACACATGGCTGAAATAATTTGTGTTCACACGTTTGACTTTTTTTTCCTTCAGGGTATTTGAACATACAGTCATGGCCTGAGAATATGACAGACTTCAGGGTGTTTTCTAACTTGGTTACCATCGGTGGGAGAGCTCTCTATAGGTAAGGTATTTCTCTGTTGGTGGAATATTTTTTTATTAGCGTTCTGTGATTCATTGTTCAGTAGCAGAGAATGCAACATCCTTTGGGAAGGACATTGTAAATTGATATTTTTTTTCCTCTGTTGCCAAGTACCAGTATCGTTGCTAATCAGTTGTTTATAATGGGTAATACCTTCTCAACATAATTATTTAAAAAAAAAAAAATCTTGGTTCGTGGCTGTAGCTATTCCCTCATTGCCTGGAACTTACATTTATGATTTGAAATATCTTGTGAAGAAACAGTTTAAAAGGTATGAATAATAGAATTTCGCCTCATTATTAGGAGTTTATATGGATGTGATTAGACACGTGGATTCATGTGCCCAGACAACAAAGTGGTTTTAAGAAGAGGTAAGAGGTGGAAGAAAATTAAAATCACTGAGGCACCTTGCAGGTGAGGTGTTGATGAGCTCTGTAGTGCCATTTTTACCAGAGATGCTTCTCTGTGAAAGCTCAGATGGAGAAATTGGTTTGAAGAGAAGAAAACATGGTGAGAAATGCTGGGGGAAGCCCAAGGAGGTACCTGAGTAATTGATACAGCAACCCCTGGATCCCCACTTTGGAGATGGAGTAAATCAGGCATGGCATTCTGCTAGCATCTTAAACAGCAACTGGAGCAGAATATGAACAGCAGTGAAACCTTGAGGTTGAATTACAGCTCTGCATTCTGTTCCAGGGCAACAATTTTTATTTGGAACAGCTGGAAAACAATTATCATCATTAAAATATAATAAGTTAAAGGGTGCCCAGAAACTCGATAATGTCTTCACTAACCTTCAGTGATAAAATATGTGCAGTCATTTTCATGTTGCACAGACAATCATTTACTGTTTCTTTGATGAAGAAAGGTGATAACTGCATATTACAACCAAAGAAAAATGAAATGTAGAAAGTGGGCTGGGAAAAAATCCATGAAAATAACAATTTCTTCTTGTAGTACTTGAAATGACATTAATTTGATGCCTGACAGAAGATGTTTTAACACATTCTTCTTAGCATATAAACTATCATGGTATTAATGCTGTTGAAAGAAAAACCTGAATTTTATTCCATTTTCCTAACTGCACATTATCTGAAAAAAATCTATTAATGGAGGGAAGGAAACTGGTTGAGGAGTTCTTCTGGCTTACTTGGCCTAGTGCTATGAGCATCACAGCTTGAGGTATCTCACTCCTGACTGGACTCATCATTTCCTAGGCAATAGAACTGGATGTTGACTCATAAAATATTTGTGTTACCACAAAATGAAAGTTTTCTGAACAATTCTCAGGTCATCTTGACACTTGGAACTAGCTCCAGTTGGCAGTTCCCTACCAGATGATAATAAATTGTCTTCTGAAGCTGATGCCTGTTTTCTCTCACTTTTGTTCTCATCCCAGTGGCCTTTCCTTGCTCATCCTAAAGCAACAAGGCATCACTTCCCTGCAGTTCCAATCCTTGAAGCAAATCAGTGCTGGCAACATCTACATCACGGACAACAGCAACCTGTGCTACTACCACACAGTCAACTGGAGCAGCCTGTTCAGCACCCCCAGCCAGAAGACGGTGATCCACAGGAACAAAAGGGCAGAGAACTGCAGTAAGTACCTGCTGCTGCTGCTGCTCACTGCCACCAACTCAGCTCGTGCAGCTCCACGGACATCAGGGGAGCTCTGGTCATTTACAGCACCCGGGGGTGTGGCCCTGTCTGAGCAAGAAAATGAAATGTTTTAAGGCATGGGCAAAGGGAAGGGAGCAGAGAGAGCTGCTTGCTTAGCATGATGGGAATGTTCCAGTTAAATAAATATGAATTCTGAAGGCTGTGAATGGAGTGCTTGTGACTTTATAGCCCTTTCCTTACAGATTGGGATTAGCATCCTCTGCTTTCCCCACCCTAGTGGCCCTATCTTAATCCAGAATGGTGATTTTGGGACTGTTTTAGGGTGCCAGATTCTCCCTTTTCGTATTTGACCTATCTGATAAAAAACACTGCTTCAGGAAATCTTACATGCCAGTACCTAGGCTGAGATCCTAGCACTGAAAAGCCAAAGAAAGCTCTATAGCACATGAAATAACTTGTTTATATAGAAATCAGGCAGCAAATTGCATCAATACAGTCATATTGTAGCAGCAAGGAAGTTCATTTTAAGCATCTGTTAGACTGCTTGCAGGAGAGAGGATTCATTAAGTTGCTGTATGTTTAAGTGATATTGCTGATGTTTGTGTTCTGACCAGCCAAAAATGTTTGCTTTGGGTTTTTTCAAGCTGTGGTCCTATTTTTGACTTACACTTTAGTTCTTTCTTTCTGTTGTTTTGAGTGGGTTTTTTTGTGGGATTTTTTTGCCTTTTTTTTCTTCCTCTCCCCTCCCTTTGAAGTGCTGTTCTGCTCTGTTGTGAGAGAGTGAATGGCTGTGCTCATCACCTTCAGTGTTAGGTGAAACACAGCTGGAGCTTTGTCTCTGCTGCTCAGTTACTTTTCTAATCTCTCCTACCATAGGAGAGCCACAGGAAGTACAAAGTCTTGTTTGGTTGATCTCCACATGGTTTTGGTTGTGTGACATTTTGATTTTTATTATTAACTTTATTAGGCTATTTTTTTACATGCAAGTTAAAAAAGTGAAGGTTAAGAAAATGCTACTTGCTGTCACTGCAGGCAATTTTTACTGTGGCTGTGCCTGAGGGTGTAGGGTTTTTCTTCTGCCCCTACATAGAAAGCCAGCTATAAAAATAGGGAATTTATTGGAAAATAGAGGTGCTGCCAAGAAGGATGGCACATCTGCCTGGAGATGTGGCACTGCTTTTTGCTTTCCCCTGCAGTGTAACAGGATCATGTGCTGAGGAACCACCTAGTTCTGCACTAGTGCTCTAGTAACAGATGTATTGAAGCTGCATGAAGGAAGAATTAGCCCTTTTGAGATTTCCCATATGGAATTTTTGGACTGACAGAACAGAGGACGACCATAAAAGAGTTGCTAAGGTTATATTCCCAGATCTGAGTTGGTCCCATCTTGCCAGAAGATACATGGACTTTTGAACCTTCTAGAGAGCACAGATTTCCTCTCCACCAGGTGAAAAACTGCTTACTATGGGAGAAAATTCATGTTCTTGGTGCTCTGATGTTTTCTTACATCAGATTGGCTCTAGCTGATTATTTCCATCTAGCTGATTGGCTCTGGCCTTTCATTAAATGCTGCATGATAATCAGAACAATCAAATTTCCTTCATTCCTAGACATTTAATATAAAAAGAAATGAAGCAGTACTAAGGTGGAGCACAGGCCTCATACAGTAGGTATTCCTCTTTGCTTCAAGTTTTCTGTAACCTCCCACATGTTAGAAGACCATGGGAAATCACTCAGGTGAATTTTGTAAGGTGCTTTTTCCCTTCATGGAGTAATGGCTGAGTTGTTTCTCTGTTTTTGAGAGCTTTGGGACATAGCTGAACACAACAGTTTGAAACAAAATCTTGCATTAGTTGCCAGGGCTCCTTTGTCAAATACCTCTTTGCCCTTTCCTGGGATCACTCATTTTGAATCCCTTTGAAGCTGCCACAACTACTGAAGCCTGGGCTTCCAGAGCAAATGGAAACTGGGATGTGCTGTCACATCATCCTCTCACATAGAATGTCTTGTCACTACATTGCACACAAAGGGAAAATGTAAACTTTATTTCACCTCTAGCTTGGTGAGGATTTATTATAATAGATGTTTATCGTTTTCCAGGAAGAAAAATACTCCTAAAGACATTTTTGGAGATTTAACACCACGAGAATCTTAAGAAAACAAACCTCACTCATTTCCTTTTTAAGAAGTCGCAATGTAAGCTCCAGCACCAAGGGGCTGGTTTTGAAAATGGATTTGAACCTGTGTTCATTAAATGGACAGTGTATAATGAAGATAGGCCAGGGGCCAAGCAGCTCCAGTTGGGAGGCAGTGCAATCCTAACAGGAACTGTGCCTTCTTCTCTCCAATTGCAATCCCAGCAGGAGCAGCCAGTTGAAAGTGCTACAACATTTTCTGGCATGCAAAATATACTTTATATTCCTCATGCCCTCAATTATTTAATCTTGCTGTTTATACCACTTGTTAATGTTAAAATAGTCTCCAAATCTTTCACTGCCTTGAAGATTTTTTTTTTTTTTTAAATAGGTTAAAAGCCTAGGCAGACTTCTGGTTTTTGTAGAATAGTGAAAATAAAGGAGAAAAATGTGTGTTTTTAATTAAAAAAATAAAAATCCATAAAGCCCCAGGATGCTCCAGTGCTTTGTGTTGTCTTTCTAAGATGGTGCCAGCAGGGCCAGAACAGGGCTGTACATGGAAGGAATGTGACCTCTCCCTTCTCCACTTCCCTACACACTTTCAGGGATAGAAATGTCAGTGTCCAAGCTTGTGTGCTCAGGGAACTGAACAAATCACCAAGGAAAGGAAGGGCAGGTAGAGTTTACCTTTGCTCCATGCTGAAGTGAAAAGTCTGCATTTTTTTTTTTCCTGCATGGGTTTTGTTTCGTTTTAATGGAACAGTCAGAGGTGACTCATGTGAAATATGAGTGCACACAAAATAAATGCAGGGGGAAAAATGTTCTTTTATCCAAAGTTACTTGAACAATTGTCTCAGCTTTAATGACTCCTGCAGTGTAAGGTGAAGCCCTTCTAGACAAGGGTTGTAACAGGTGTGATTATTATGAATTATATCAATCTAGCCACGAATTAACAACTTGAATAAATGATTACTTTCATTATTGGGCATGATGTAAAGCTAATTGAAGTCTGCAGGAGTTTTTCTATTCAGTTTATGGAGCTTTGGATCAGGCCCAGAAGCATATAGCCAAATAAAAATAATTTTTCTTTTTTTTAGTAGCTATTTTCTTGCGTTCTATTTAGGTTGGGGGAAAAACATTTCTACTTCTAACCTGTGTGGCCCCATTAATAAAGAATGAGCCCTTCTTCTAATACTCCTGACAAAATCCAGTTCCTGTCAAAAGCATTATGATTGCCTTCCACATAAGGCCGTGTGATGTGCTGGAGCTGCAGAACATGCTCAGCCCATGAAATGCCAAATATCCTGACAAAAATTGAAACATTGCTTTAGCCATCCCCACAATTAAAGGAGAGAGAGGTGAGAGAAATGAGTTTTTATAAGTTGTCAAAACAACCACTCCCTCCTTGCCGAGATTCTTTTATGAAAACATTTCAGGAGGAAATTGTAGTTTTTTTGTTTCTGATGCTTTTTTTTCATAAGACTACAGGCTACCGTGTTGGCTACATTTCAATGGGGTAATCATGATTTTCTTTATTGAAAAGCTCTCTCTTTATTTATTTACAGTTACTCACTGTATTTTCTGAGCTATCTTGTAATAATCTCTTGTTATTTGGACAGATATTTTGGTGAAATACTCTGTCTGTACAAGTGAATTCTGATACCAGAGTGGTTTGAAGGGTAAGAAAAATGAAAAGAAGGAAATTACTAATAGTAAATAACAATTTCAAGTTACAAAAGAAGGTGAGAAAGCAGACAGGGAACTGCCTTTCTGTGATGAGTGTGGAAAACAAAATCAGAAGAGCTAGCAATCTTCTTAAAATTAAAAATGAGAAATAATCTTTACCTGGTTTGGAGATCCCTTTTTCTTTGTTGCATGACAAAGATTTAAAATGAATCATTCATTAGAAAACATAAACCATATGAAACTATATTAAAATTTTGTTTAATGGTAACTAGGGTAGTTCTGGGTTTGTGGTTTTTGTTTGTATTTTCAGGTTCAGGCAGTGGCAGCATGGTGAATCTACTGACATCTGGTAGTTATAATAAAAATGTTACTGTGCTTACCAGAAAGTCAGGTTGGGACAGTAATGAGAGGCTGAATTTTGTGTCCCTGCTCATCCTGGCTGTGCTGGTCTGGCTCATTTGACTGCAGAAGCAGAATTCAGGGAAGGAGGACAAGGCATGTCTCTGAAATGGCCTCCTGAGTCCCTGTGGCTGTGCTGGAATTTGTGATCATTAATACACTTTAAAGCACGCTGAGCACCTGGAATGACTCCTAAATGAAATAATTTTATATTTGGCTGTACCTGGTTTGAGCTTTGAGGCAAAAGAAAAACAAAAAAGGTGTTTCTGAATACTTTTAGATGTTGGCATTAAAAAAGTATATGTGATATAGAAAAGAAAAAAAAACCCTAAATCCCAGCCTTGATATAACACCTTCAGGCTTCCCATGCCTGAGGTTATTTGTGGTGTATTGAGTAAGATAGTATTGGAGAGGGTGGTAGACCTCTTGAGTCGTTTCTGATAGTTTATAAAACAAACAAGTGTCTGTATTGTTGCCATCTCTCATATTTCAGGTCCTTGCTGGGTTTAATTTACTCAGTCCAGTGTGTAATCCATTTGTTTAAAACAGTGCATTGTGCAAAAATCAGTTCAAATTAGTGCTGTCCTTTCACATGCCAGGGTTAGGCTGAAAGTGCACCCAGATTTCCTTCAGATGCTGGAGAGAAAATGTTTCCTTTAGCTCTTTGGTCATTTTCTCCATCTGTCACATCATCTAGATATTTACATAGAGAATTATTTATATCCAATAAAAATACAGACACTGTTTGAAACAAACTTTCCCTCTAACCCTTGGTTCATTGTGTGTTTAGTGTAGCCTTGAGGGTTTTGATATAAAGGCTCTTTGGCTCTTCAGGTGCTTTTGCAGTCAATAATTTTAAAATCATCATTAATGATTATTTCCCCCCATCCATAAGTTTTATTTCAGGGAGTCCTCAATTCATAGGTAGCATTTTATATTTTGTTTAATAGAACTTCAGTGGATTCAGACAGTTGATTTTTTGAATCCTTTAAGTTTTTGGCATTTACCATGTCCTATATCAGGCAATTCTACAGGTAGATCTTTACTTCCTATGAAGAAAAATCTCAGATTTTAACCCTATTGGATTCCTGTCTCTTTGAATGCCCATGAGGGACTTGGAAGAAGCAGTGAACGATTGTTTCATACTTACTCACCTCTTCCTTGCCATTTAGGATTTTGGAAGCTTTAATCGTGTCCTTTCTCCCCCACATCTCCGGCTGCTTCTCTGTTTATTCCTGGTTTAGAAGCCCTTCTCTGGTTCTGATCGTCCTTGCAGCACTCTCTTAAACCTTTTTCCCCACTCAGTTTTATTCTGAAAGGAGCAGACCAGGAGTGTGTAGGATATTCCAGCTGAGTGCTCTGTGCATTTGTGTTGTGGCATGATAGTGATTTTATGGGTTTTTTTTTTGTCCTGTTCCTGGGAAACAGGGACATTGCACTTAGGTCTCGGAGCGTGTCGGAATGCTGACAGAACGTTTTCTCTTGGATTTGGGGGGGCTGTGAGCATTACTGACAGCACCTCTCTCTCTGCAGCTGCTGATGGGATGGTGTGCAATGAGCTGTGCTCCAGTGATGGCTGCTGGGGGCCAGGGCCAGACCAGTGCCTGTCCTGCAAGCGTTTCATCAGGGGCAGGACCTGCATCGACTCCTGCAACCTCTACGATGGGTAAGCCACTCCCCTGGCCTTTCCCCCAAAGCTGATCATTAATACTGGGGAGGACTTCAATCAGCAAGTCATTTTGGGTTTGCATTAATCACTGTCTGGCCCCATTGCTAATATTACTGATTTTGGGTGAAACGTGCCATGGGCTAAGATGTAAAGAATTCTAAATCTGAACTTGTGTAGAAAGGTTTCCCTGGTATTCCACTGACTGAAGTTTTCATGCAGCATCATCACCTTGCACCTTTTGCATTGTGAACAGTTTGATTTAAGTAAAAAGTTAAAAAACCCTCCTCATTTATCCCTACTTGATACCGTCATTCAGAACCATACAATTATATTATTTCAGATGAGCTGGATTTAGGCATCTGATAAAGAAGTTCTCTGAATAAGGACCCCAAAGTAGAAAAACTCACTCTATTTTTCATAATGCACTGTGTAATTGTACACACAAATATAAATTTTAAAATCCAACAGGAGTTCTTGCCCCTTTTCCTTTTGCTGCTTATACTGGAGGAATACCTCCACAACATAAGGTGATTAAATCTGCCTTATGACAAAGATAAAGCTGAACTGAGACAAATGAGCTCTCATGTATGCATGAAAATTTTCTTAACTCTTCCATCTGGAGAAGGCTTGCAAAAAATACTTTGTCAGAGCCCAGTTTTATGTGTTTAAGAGCTCTCCTTCTCTCTTCCCCCTTCATCCCCCAATAAGAGTTGCAGGCCCCAGTTGTGTTGTCAATGCACTGGAATAAATTGGTCCCCTCTTGGTGTGTTTTGCTGCCCTGGAGCCTGTCACAGTAAGAGCTTAATGAGACTCAATCAGTATGTTGTGTTCTGTTCTCTGTCCATCGGTGTGAAGGGTATTTACACTTTCCACAGGCTCAGTTCTGTCCTAAATATGTGAAAATATTTGTAACCTGGGCTAGGGGAGAACTTTTTTGTTGGTGGGAGAAGTCTGCATGTTCATTTTGTAGGGCAACAACAGTTCTTCAGGGTTGGGGTCAAGCTGTGTTTGACATCTTTTAGTCCTCAGCAGGAAAAATCCACTGCCAGAGCCAGGGAAGGGTGAGCACTCGAGTGAGGTTTTCCTCAGCAGATCCTAATGGCTGTAGAGGAATGGAGGGTGAGCAGTGACCAGCTGAGCTCAGAGCCTTCTCCCCTTACCTGAATGCAGCTGGAGCCCCCTAACACGAGTGTGCAGCACATCTGTGACTGGTTAATGCCAATATTGTAATTGGTTCATGCAGCAAGATGGGATCCACCTGCAAAGCTTGGCTTGGTCCACTCTGAGCCTACTACAAAGATTTGGTCTGTCTTTAGTGGGGGAGAAAGAGCTTGCTCAGAGGTGAATTCATCTTGAAGGTGGGATGGATTGTGTTGGGAGAGTGCTGGAGGGTTGTGGTGAGAGGTAACTGGCAGCTGAAATGTTTGAAGGAAGAAATTCAACTTGCCATCACTACCTTTTTTCTCCCTTAAAAGTGGTTAATAAAAAAAGTCACTTTCTTGTGGATACATGAAATAAATGAGTAAAAGGATTTGTTTTGACATTTTATAGATTGAGACTTCAGTCTAGAATTATTGCTGAAAACATTATGAGCCTTTTGGAGAGCAGGCTTTAAAACATGTGTTCTTAGAGACCTACCTGCAATAAGGTCAGCTCTTTCATCAGTGCTCACATGTGACAAGTGACTTCCTGAATCTGAGCCACGAGTGATAATCCTGTAGATAAAAATTAAGAAGTCAGAATTTTGTCCTGTTAATGAAGTCTCTATTTCTTAATGAGAGGAAGGCTACCACTATGGTTTTATATTGATGAAGAAGGTTTCTCTGCTTCATTCACGTGGCTGTGGATGAGGTGGTGGCCTGTCTTCAGCTCCTGTCACCCTGAGATTAATTCCAAGCTCACCCAAGCCAGGTGAGCTCAGCTTCGGGCTGCAGTCAGATTTCTCCTAACCTGCCTGCAAAATATTTTCTCAGGGAATTCCGGGAATTTGCAAATGGTTCTGTCTGTGTGGAGTGTGATCCCCAGTGTGAAAAGATGGAGGAAAACATGATCACATGCTACGGGCCGGTAAGAACAAACCCGTTGTGTTTGTCAGGTTTTGGTTTGTTTTGTTTGCTGTGGTTCAGGGTAAAACTTGCCAAAGTGTGCTGAAGGGACAGGGTTTTCCTGCTTACAGACTGCAAAGCAGCTACTGCAAATTAGTGAAACAAAAGTAGAAAACACAGGTATATTCTGTGTATAGGGAGGGAATTCTGCTCATGCTGAATTGGTTTTGGGGATAACCTGCCTTGGCTCTGCCTCCTTAAGAAAGTGATTTTGAAAGTTTTCCTTTTCTTTCCTGAGTTGACTAAATGCTTTAGTGGTACAGATGCACACAATTTTTACAGCCAGCCAGCATGCAGTTGAGATTTGAGTGCACTCTTTTATCACTATTTTCATTCTTTATTTCAGCTCTGTCTTGGTTTCCTCCCACCAAAAAAAGTGGGGGAGTTTGTCTCAGTCTCTCAGTTTGAACAATATGCTGGGAGGTTTTTTCTACTTAGATAGCCTTTAAGTTCTTTTGATGATAATGTTTTTCATGCATCCTAAATGATGGTTAATGCTTTCTAACCTTTATAATGGCCAGTAACTTTTCTTTCAAAGATTATTGCTCATTTGGGAGATAGAAGTTGTCTCTTTCTTCTAGTTTTCTGTGTATTGCCAAGTCACAAGTATGCTGGAAAAGAGGAGTTGTATTTTGGGCTCTTCATAGCTGAGAAAATATAACCTGTAATTTATTGCCTTATTTCTGTGACTGACTTACTTACTGAATGGAAAAATGAAATCACAATTTTTCTTACAATACTGTGTTTTTCTGCAATACAGCCATAAGGCAAGAAGCTAATGCTTTAAGTGTTCAGCCCATCAGGAAAACTTGTATTTGTAGCAGGGCTTATGGACATAAAATCCTAGGCTCAACCTGAACACTGGATTTAGTTATACACTGGCTTATCAAAGCTTAAAATTTTTACTTTTACATTGTCCAGGAGTCTTGGTTTGTTGTTCTTAACAATTTGGTCTTCATATGTATTAAGAAGGAGACCTGATAGTTCTTCAGTCTTGCTGTGACCAGATGCCATGTGCAGAATGCTTGTGGAAAATAATTCTGGAGCACAGAGGCAGGAGATCCCACTGAAGGGCTTTGCAAAGGTGGTTCAGTACTGAATAATGTAGCAGGAAATTTCTCAGTGGGCACTGACTTCATTGTATTAAGCACACCAATAATATTAAGAAGCTCATCTAGAAGCTGGTATTTAGTCTTGCACTCTACAGAAGAAGCTAGTGGCCAAAAGCACCAGGATTTACACATCTGCTGCTCCCTCACAGAGGCTGGAGCCATGCAGGTAATTCAGTGTTCTTTGGGAAGAGAAGCTGCTGCAGTTGATGCTGAGCATGTGCCAATGCAACCCTAGTGCAGCAGGAAAGGCCAGAGTAACTTGAATGCACTGCATTTCTTCCTTCCAGGGACCTGACCACTGCACCAAGTGTTTCCATTTCAAGGATGGTCCAAACTGTGTGGAGAAATGTCCTGATGGCTTGCAGGGGGCCAACAGCTTCATTTTCAAGTACGCCGATGAGGATCGGGAGTGCCATCCGTGCCACCCAAACTGCACCCAAGGGTGAGTGCAAGCTCTGTGCAGGGAGCCATCCTACCCAGGCACTGCTCAGAGCACGGCGTGGTTCAGAGCTGTCTTGGCTTAGTAAAGCACTTGTCTCACTCCTGAAAAGAGAGTGTGCAGTAGGAATTTAACCTTTGGTTTTCAGGTCTCCCATGAAGTTCAGGGTTTAGTCGTGAATGCCCAGCAGCTTATCACAAAAAATCCCTTTTGAAAGCCACAGAGGAGAACTTTCCACAGCAATGCTCTCAGCTTTCCTTCTACGCTGGTTTGTAGCAAATGTTGCCCTTTCATTTAATATTAGGCCTGTAAAATGATGGAATCTCTGCTACCTGGTGTTGGTGAACTAAGTCTGCAGCACTACTGTAAGACAAAAGTGTTATTGCTCTCCTTTTCCTACAGGGACTGATGCACAGAGTTTGAAACCAGACTTTTTACAGGAGCCTGAGACTCAGCATCAATTTCTGAAGTCCTGTCAAAGTGCCCAGAATAATTTGTTACACTTGGAATAATACAGCCCATGGATCTGAGCCAGAATTAAGAACCTGTGCAACACAGGAGCAGTAGTCACATGCACACCTATAGTTTTGCACAGGCCATGTAAGTTATTATTGCCTTTTCCATGGGGCAATTCAGAGTGTCCAGCACACAAAGAGAGGAAGACACAGCAATGGGAAAGAGAGAAAACATCAGCCAGCGAAATAATCTTCAACGAGAGGCTCTTATTGTTTAGCAGCTAAAATTAAACCAGTAAATTATTCAATGTAATCTTGATGTCAACAGCTGTTGCCATTCAAAATGAGACCTTTTGCTGGTTTTGCAAATCTAATTACAATAGAGCCATTAGGGAAATGAGAGGGAGATCACAGAGACACAGCCAGGATCCGTTACAGATTTGTCTCCCCCTCAGACCCTTTAAATCAGTTATGCAATGAGAAAAATGCTGCTACTGTGGAAGAAGAGGCTAAGAAGAAATGATATTAAAAGATGAGCTCACTCCAGGAGCTCTGGTCCTGGCTTTCATAGATGGAGAAGGTGCCAATGCTGACCTAATCTGACAAGACCAGGGATATATGATGGATTTACTCTCTGCCCAGCACAGGAAGTGCCTTGCAGCTCTTCTAGCCTCCAGGGAGCAACACTTTTTCCCATTCCCTCCTATTTCCTGAGGAGTTCCAACTGACCCAGCTATTTCTAGAGTTTGTGGCCCAACTGTGTTTCTCCTAGACCAGGAAGAGAGCAGGTTTCCCATGCCCTTCCACTTCTCCATAGGCATTCGTATTTTGCAAGTGGTTGTTGATTTTTATCTGCCTGGATCGAGAAGGGAAGTTCTTATGTCTTGTGTTGAAAATGTGACATTCTAGTTCAGACACCAATATGCAGGGCATTAGGCAGTTCTTGCTGACCTTGGCAGAGCTCATTGGCAACCACTGCTGACACAGGGCTCCCTTATGCCGAGTGATGTTGTCCTTTTAATCCTTGGACTTTCAGTTTTCCCTCCTTTCTGTTTTCTCCTTCTGATTAGGTGAAAGAATGTCCCATCATGTGCCCATCACCTGAGAAAGGATAATTTAAAGGACCAAAAGTCTGTCCCCCAGTTATATCACAAAGGTGTGATTATCTCCCAGATGAGGAGCTATTCCTTTTCCATGACACTAATACTATTCCCTGTATTTATCCTCTTATTAAAGGGTTGATGTGTCTATTCTTAGGTATATTTTTATGCCTTAGAAAAACAATGCTCTCTTCCCCCCAAGTCTGGGTAAGCATGGTTTACTATTCTTTTTTAGGGTTCCTAGAGACTTTGTGGTATATGATTATGTTAATGAAGCTATTAATGACTGCCCAAGATGTTTGGGGTTTGCAGGCTGTCCATCTTCTTGCCAACATTGTCAGGGGCTGAATATGCCCACAGAGAGAAGGGAAAGCAGTTACTCTCACCTTTCCTCCTTCAAGGCTGAATTCTCTAGCTTCATAGCCTTCCTTTAGAAAGTGGTATTTAAATTCCCCTCAGTCATGATTCTTCACTGAAATAGGCTGTGGAGACAACACAGCTTGCTATTTGGCTCATGGCTGAAAGGTAGAGAGAAAATGTAATTCTGCTTCATCTTCCACATCTGTTCTCCTGGCTGCCAGATCAAGTGCTGGAATAAACCCAGTGCCCTCTCAGTACAGCTGGGATATCCATCTAAAAGGATTTGAGCTGCTGCAGAGCAATGCTTCCAGTTTGGTATTATCTCATTCCTGCAGTGCTGCTCTCTATGAGTCAGGCTGCTTGATAAAATAACTTATTAATTCTCATGTGATCCAGTCATCCCCAGCAGTTGTCACCAAGGAAAGATCTGTCCCATCTCTGTTCCCTGTGTTTTGCCACTAATTCCATCTTGGCATTTGCAGAGGACTGCTTTAGTGAGTTTTGCTAGCACCATTCTCCTCCCTTACTCAAATATAATGACTGTTTCTCTTAATAGCTGTGTAATTATCCAGCCATGTTAATGACCTCGCATTGACCAGAAGAACTGTCAAACAGTGACTTCCCTGCGTGCAACAACTCTTCTCCTGCCCTTGCATCCCTGTGATAAGCATCAGCTGCTTGAAGCCAGTTTGGGGCAGATCTGAGGCACGTGGGACAGCTATCCCACTTAATTCAAGAGAGTAGGAAAGCATTTGGCACCTCTTCTTGCACAGCCCGCCAAAACTGAACACTTCCACAGGAATAAAATACTCATTGTACAATAGCAAGTGACAGCCTGCTTCCTTGCTGGGCAGCACACAAATGGGGGATCTCACTGGACACCTCCCCTCACCATACAAACGTGTTTTGTCACACAGCCTTTTAAAGAGAGGGTATTACTCCTCACCAAAATGCTCTTTTTTCCTTCTAAGCCATGACCAGAAAAGTCAGGGGAGCTGCAGCAACAGTGTGTGGCCCTGAAGGGATTTGAGGGCAGAAGCATTGTGTTGCCTCTAAAGCTTATAGGTGTATTTTTAGGAAGAAAGTTTGAATTCCAGATGAAAGGGTATTGCAAACGCACTCTGAATAAGAAAAACTGTTATTCTTTTGTTTTGCAAAATTTCCTCCTAGCCCCTGCTCCAGTTCAGCTTTGTTCCTGTCACTTGTTAGCTCAGTAGCCCTTGGGTCTGACTTTATCCATAACAATAGCTGAGGTGACCACCACAAAAAAGATTTTTTTCCTGCCTAGAGATAATCCACTTATACCATTGTAAAATCAGTTTTGTTTGCTTCCAGTGATCGAGATTTTTGAGGATTCATCTGGCAAGGAATGGCTTTGCTACCCCATATCTGTGCAGTTAAGACCCTCACTTTTTAATCTTAAAAAAAGTTGATAAATGGCAATGTTTCTGGATTGTTTCTGGGAAAAAAAAAAAAAAAAAGCCAGTTGTTACTGCAATTTTCAAAACCTCACATTTCCTTTCAGAGGATGATTATCTGTTAAGCTAGGATGAGCTCCAAGTGTAATTTTCTGGGTAAGTTGTATTGAACTTTGCAAGGTACTGAATCTATCATTAATAAATTGGCATGTATCAATTAACCAGTTCATTTTACAGAGCCAACTTGGAAAAGAAAATCTCATCCAGGCTCCAAGCAGAAGGAACAGTGGGTGTGAACGGGGTTACCAGTGTGTGATGTATGATTGTGTCAGGCTTATATGGGTCAAAAAACCTGAAATGAGGGGTGTTCCTTCCTGGGGAAGAATACCTGATGACTTGGTGGTACAAAATACCCTGTTAATAAATATTGCCATGACTCACACAGTGTTGCACTTTCCTGCATGTAATCAGGGCAGCCACACAGGAAAACTGGGAACTGCCTAACTGGGAGTAATGGAATTGCACGTGGGCAGAGTTTTCTCTTTGGGGAAGCCAAGTCCACTGAAGAAGATTACAATTTGAAATAAAAATCAGTGACACTTCAACTCGTGCTGGGTGAGGTCCAAGCAGTACAGCTTGGATTCAATCCTGTTCTAATAATGTACAAGTGAAGTGACTCTGAGACAACAGGCTCTTGATGTCAGTCTGCCAGTTCTCTCAACTAGTAGCAGGCTCTCAGGCCTCTAATTTGAAGATGCCCTTCTTTTTATTTATAGCAAGAGTCTGAGCTCAGCTTTTCTTGGAATGGTAGGAAATGGACAATCTGAGCAATTCTTTAGCTTCCTTCATTGCTGAGCTTGTTTTCTCCAAATTGCTGAGAATGCTGTGAAAGGAAGAAACATTGGATGTGTTTGAGATGGGTTAGAATTCAGACAGTCCTGAATTCCAAAGTCCTGATGCCCAGGACAGCAAAATTCCAGGAGTTCTCCCTATTAAGTTTTTGAACTGTGTTTAAATCAACCCTTTATGTTTATGAACTATCTGGATATTTAACTCGTCTATTTTATGTCTGCACAGATGCTGGAAGAGGCAGTCATTGAGGAAATCCTTTCAGTTTGTGTTTGCATGTCAGAGTAAATGGCTTATGTTAAAATAAAAATTCAAGTAAACAAACACAGGACAGGGTTTACTTGGTCTGCTCTCCCTGATGAGCAGGTACGAGGAAATTGAATTCACTGTCTTCATTTTATAATGGCAGAGTGATACCAATTTAAATGCAGCAAAAGCTGAGGAGTGGCAAGTGATGGTGAAGCAGAGAGAAGATCTCCTGGGAGCTTATTTGAACTCTCAGATTTTTTGACATGCATATTCTTCCATCAAAGCCAATCTGAAAACCAGCAAACTTTAAAAGAGTTGGGGATCACACCTTAAATTAAAAATGTCTCAACAGCAGTAAGTTGCAATCTGCTGATATGTCAGATCACCTCTCCCACCTGTAGTACATGTACAGCCAAAGGGCCTATTAGTAAAATGGCTCTGAGATCTTGTTAAAGAGTTGAAACCAAGGATTTGGTTTCCTTAAATGCCAAGGGCTAGGTACTCCCCATGGCTAGAGTGCCAAGGTTTAGGTTGTTTTAACCCCTAAAAGTTCAACTTTAGGTGTCTGAGAATCCTGGCTGCTGTGTAAATGTGTATTTGACTTGCTGTTTGAGTGCAGGGGACCAGGAAACCAGTCCTGCCTCCATGGGGGCAAGGGAAATCCACACATGTGTTCTGCAGACTCTTCTCCATGGCTGTGGTTTGGTGGTGCTGCATTTAGTGGTTCCTTGCATTTCCAGTGCCTTTGGTGAGCACCTGCTGATTGTGCAGGTGGAGGACTTTTGGCAGCATCTAAGGAAAGCAGAATAAAAGGTCTGAATCAGCAGACACTATTTTACTGTGGGTTTTGTTGCTGGAAGATTATCCTTGGGCTTCCCTGTTAAAAAAGTATATTCGGCTTCCAAAATATTTCTGCATTTACCCCTGGCTGGGAGCTTAGAACAAAATGAACAATTGCATCAATTACAGAAAGAAAAGCAAGTTCTGGATTGTACTCCTGGAAGTCTCAACTTGTAAATTAACAGCTTTTGTGCAGTAATCACTGGTTTGATGACTCATAAAAACATGCAGGAAAAGCAACTCTGTTGTCAGGACTCCCACGTGTGCAAGTGAAACCTGCCTTAAGTGTTGTTTGAGCCAAGATATGGCCTGCCTTGGAGTGCTGTTATATCGTTGTTCCTCTTGCCACAAGCTATAATTTCGTGGTGACACAGGTCTCTCCTAGAGAGAGAAGAAGAGCTAGAATTAAAACCACAGAAGGGATTCCTGCTCGTTGGGTGCATAAATAACAGATGTCTCTCTTTCTCTCCCTGTTTCCACTTTGGATTTGCTGCAGGTGCATAGGGCCACACCTGGAGGACTGCATTGGGCTGATGGATAGGTACTGGCTGGGTGCTGGCTGCCTGTGTGTCTCCATCCCAACACGTGTGGACAAGGGTGCATGGCTGTGCAGTGACATGGTTTGTTCTGTAATTGCCTGCAGGTGTAGAGGCCCCGCTAGTCATGACTGCATTTTCTATCCATGGACACGGCAGTCCACCCTGCCCCAGCACGCTAGGTAACATCCCCAGCCGAGCCCCTGCCCTGCTGCCACGGCAATGGCATATTAACCACTTTGAACACACTGAGGGGGGACAGCACAGCTGCTCCAAAAGCCACATCTGCCCTCCTGTTAAAGGCAATGATCAGAAAATGCCTTTTTTTTTTTTTTTTCCAATTATGTTTAGCTTAAATCAATAAGTGTTACACTCCGAAATTTCCTGCAGATATCCATTGCTTCCATATTAAATTTGAAAATTCTGGTTAAATTGGAATTCGCTTGTTTTCTCCTTTTTTTTCCGCTTGTTTTTTTGTTTAAGACAGAATTTAAAACCAATTGAACCTCTTTCTTCCATCCACCTTCCCTTGAAAAAGTAAATTTGGTTGCTGGAAGATTATCCTTGGGCTTCCCTGTTAAAAAATTATATTCAGCTTCCAAAATATTTCTGCAGTTACCCCGGCTGGGAGCTTAGAATAAAATGAATAATTGCATCAATTACAGGAAAAAAAAAAGAAAAATAAGATCTGTGAATACCAGCTAAGCTATGTTACTTGGTTGGGAAAAGATGCTACTCTCGAGAGATTCTTAATATGGAGCTTTCTGAAGCTGTATCAGAAGAGAGCTGTTGAAGAAACAGCTTTATTTTTTAAGAATCCACACTAGAAATGTTTAGCAACATTTCTTCCTTAATTCACATAAATTAATTTCTTCCTTCTATAATTTCACATAACGTTAATTTCTTCCTTATTTCACGTAAAACTATTATTTGATTTTTTTTCATTTTCTATTCAAAAGAAAAATTGTAACCTTGCATCAATTTTATTTTTTAGTAATGACAATTGAAACAAATTAGCAAAGTAGGCTTTACTCTGCATTCTTTTTCATTATATCCCTACATTACTATTGAATTTGTTCATTCTTAAATTCAAACTGGTTAATATGACTTCCAGGCTTTGGGATTACTCTCCTAAGCTAAGATTAGATAAAAAATGCATAAATTCAATCAAACCCACCTCATTAAGGATTTCAATATGAGTTTTTTTTCTTGTCTTTTTCAAAAGGTTTTAAGGTTGCCTTTCCTTCTTAATTGTGTACATAATGTGAATATGCCTATTTCTAGCTTATGAAGAAGAACATATTTGGACTTGAAAAACAGTGCACTATAAATGCTATCAAATGGTACATTTGTTTATTAAATCAGCATCAGTTCTGGCTTAATTCATTAACCACTGAATAAGCAACAGAAGATGAGGTTTTCAATATTTCAATGTTTTGTTTTAATCTTTCTGATCTGGGATATCCAGTTGGAGATACTTCTATGGGGCCTCATTTTCAGATGGACTCATCCAAACAGAGCTGCCCCAGTTTTAAGGGTCCCAATTTCATCAACTTTAATCAAAGCACAAATACAGAATTTAAAAATAATTATTATTTTATTATTATAATTTGTAGTAGTAGTAGTAGTAGTATTTCCTTACCAAACTACAGAAATTAGAGGAATTGTTTTGCTCTGTTCAGTGGTTTTACTCTTGCTCCATTCAGTCTGGGGGTGAAAGCCCTCAAATGGTTCCTGTTTCCTTTGGATCTGATGGATATTTTTCTGCTTGTTTCAGCCTTGCTGAATTCATTTTAGGAAAATTACTGCACTGTGTTGAAATGTCAGTATGTATTCTTTCCACTTTCAAGGCAAAGAAGGAAATTTCATACCTCTATATTAGATTTGTGAAATTGTGCTTTTTATTATTTTATTTTTTTTTTTTTTAATTGTGAAAATGGTTTATTCTGTGTGGGCTAAAAGTAAGCAAAACTGCATTGGCAAAGTGACACATTTTGTTATAATAGGGTTGTAAATCCAAAATGGATGTGTTTAACTTTACATAGAACCTTCTTCATGTCCCTTTAACAATAACACCCTCCTGACAGTTATAAATCTTAATTAATTAATGATCAGGCTGACCCTTATCTATTAACTTGAGTTTTTTCCATTGATGTGATTATCAGTGAGTAGAAGGGGACAGGGCTTTCTGCTGTTCAGGCAGCTGAAAGTGAGAGCAGGGCTTTAACCCAAACAAGATATTCCTCATCTTCTCCTATTTCCATTTTCATAGCAGTGTTGCTTTTCTTTCCAGTTTTTTAGCTTGCAAATTGTTTATGCCATGATCCATTGACTTGAGGGCTTTTGTAAGAGTCTGGTAGAATAGCAAAGTAATTCTTTCTGTCATGTTTAATAAAGATGAATCAGATGTGTATCACATGGCTTGTTTTCCAAATGACTGGTGAAACTTCAGGTTTTTTGTTTATCTTTCATCCCTTCAAGTTTGTGGGAAAACAATCTCAATTTTGGCAAAGCATTTCTTTCTGAATAGTTTGGTTTGGGATTTTTTTTAACCTTTAGGTTCAATAGAGTTGTGTCCAAAAGAGCAGCTCCTCATGCAGCTTCCTGTGTAGATTATTCCTGTAGAGCTTTGGTTTTGTTTCCACCATCCATACCAGTCTTTCCTAGCAATTGCCAAAGCAAAGATGGAAAGCAGAAGAAGGCTGGAATTCCCCAGGATGCCCAGAGGAATTACCCATCCTCCTTTCCTGCCTCTTATTACAATGCCACTCCTCCTTTTGCTACCTCCTGGCAGTTGCATTCAGTGTTTTTTTGTGGTTGGAATAGCACATTCCAGCATATTCTGGATAATCAAAAAGATGATCCCAAGATTGGGATAACTTTTGCCTAAAAGGATGATTCAAAAACTATAAAAATAATGCTCTGCTGGTCATTAAGAAAATACTCTAGACAGTCAGGAAAGGCTGGTTCCTTTCAAGTTCACCAGAAAAGTTTGGCTAATGCAGTTATGGCAGTGAAACTGAGGACAAAGTTTTTACCTGAAATATGAATTTTTATTGGCTTATCCTTTGCTAGGCTTCATTCACCTTAATACTAGGAGAGAAGAGATCATCCAAGGAGGAGTGAAGTTTCTGTTTTCTGGTGTGTGTGAGATGCTATATCTAAAGATATGATCAGGAGCATATGTTGGATATGATAGGAAAGAACCAGCACTGATATTCCTGGTCTGAGTAAGCTGGTGTCTCTGTTTATGCCCCAAGAAAATTTCATTTACATTTCCCTTTTAACTAACAGAAACTAATTAGCCAGGCCCACTATTGTCAAGTGCTTAAATAGAATGTTGTGTAGATGTTAACTCTAATTACAATCCCATTGCTAGCTTTGTATCCAAAAAGGATGTTCTCTCAACAAATCATCACTTCCTCAACAACAACAAAAAGAAAAGCTGGTTTTATCTACTGCCTATGTGCAGAAGAGCTAATTAACAGTAAACCCTGTGTAATGCAGGCAAATCCTTTCATAGCTGTTTTGTACCCTGTCACAGTATGACTTCAACAGAATTTCACAGCAGCTCTCAGTAGTTGGTGAGGAAGGGAAACCACCTCCAATAAACTGCTTATGTTCATGGCTTTCATGGTGCTCAACTCCATTGCTTGGAGGAAAGCACCCCATATGCTCTCTGTTTTTATATAATAATTACAGTTGTTCTGGAGGGGCAGAGGATCTCTGTATAAAACAAGAGGGAAAATAAGATCTGTGAGTACCAGCTGAGCTATGTTACTTGGTTGGGAAAAGATGCTACTCTCGAGAGATTCTTAATATGGAGCTTTCTGAAGCTGTATCAAAACAGAGCTGTTGAAGAAACAGGTTTCTTTTTTAAGAATCCAGACTAGAAAAGCAGAGTTTCAATCCTCACTCTGTGGGTTGCATAGATCTTACACAGCATCAAACAGGACAAATTCACAGAAGGAGCTGGGTTGGAAAAGACCTTTGAGATCATCAAGTCCAACCTATGACCAAACCCCACCTTGTCAACTAAACCATGGCACTGAGTGCCACATCCAATGTTTTGTAAACACTTCCAGGGGTGGTGACTCCACCACCTCCCTAGGCAGCCCATTCACCCTTTCTGTGAAGAACTTCTGAATGCCCAGCCCAAACCTCCTTTTTGCCCTCTTGTCCTGTTGCTTGTTGCCTGGGAGAAGAGACCAACCTCCACCTGGCTACAACCTCCTGTCAGGTTCATGAAAGAGATTGACAGAGAAATCCCAGTTCAGTGGGAGAACTTGCCTCGACTGAACTGGTTCTCAAGCCAGACCTTTGCTGGGAGTACTTTAATTCTTGCCATGGCATTTCCCTGCCTGGAGCTTTAGGAGGAGTACATTTGGAGTACCCCTGTGACATGAATGGAAGTCACTGTGGTGATCTTGTGACCTCCTCCATTTTTTTACCACTTATACATTTTAAGCCTTGTTTTTCTTGTGAAAAGGGTGTAGGTGGGTATTCCTTCTTTCCTGTTGTACAGATAGAACTCTAGAATGGTTTGGGTTGGAAAGGACCTTACAGCTCATCCTTTTCCACCCCCCTGCCATGGGTTGGGACACCTTCCACTATCCCAGGTTGCTCCAAGCCCCATCCAGCCTGGCCTTGGACACTTCCAGGGATGGCACAGTCACAGCTTCTCTGGGCACCCTGTGCCAGAGCCTCCCCACCCTCCCAGGCAACAATTTCTTCTTCATATCTGACCTAAATTTCCCCCTTTCAGTTTGAGGTCTGACCACAGTGAATAATTTGCTCGTTGTGTTAAAGCTTCTGTTCTGTACCATGTTCAGAAGGATTTGTCTGTGATCAGTGAGGGCTGATGCTTCATCTGCTTTGCTCAGCAGGGTTGGCTGGCATGGGCTCATGGTATGGAAGGACTGAGCAGGGTATGCTATTATAGGGAGAAATACATTTTTAAGGTCAGGAGAGTGAAAGAACTGGAAGCAATTCACACCCAATGCTGTTTAAAATCTGTTCTTTGGCTCCAGTAGTTTGAGGATCCTGTTGAGAGAGTGTAGGATAGAGTAAGGTCAGACTTGGTGTTTCTACAAGTTTGTTATGCAAGGAGTAGAATGTGAGCTATAAACCCTTACAGGATCTTGATATTATTGATACTCATTGACCAAGTTTCTCAGCAGCT